ACTGACTTTGATTTAGGATTTAATATGTATCATCGTCTCAAGGGAACCTCACTGTAATCGTATATAAATCATCAACTTTATATTTTATAAGATCTACAATTTTTATCAACTTGGATTCACTGCTGAGCAAAACAATAGCAAACAACCTCCAAGGAAAAGCTGTTTTTTCCTCCATGAGAGAGTCAGAATGTGAAGAGGATTTATGACACTGTCTTTTACAGGAATTTGACAATTTGTTGTTGACTTGACTCCTTGTATTTACTTGTAAAGCGGGGTTATAGGGTACACTGACACAGCAATATACCTCAGAATTTCCATGTTACTGAATATACGAGTCCAATGCCAACTCATAGGATGCTGCTTGCGGATAGGTTTTGAACTATCTGCAAATTTCATTTCTTTTAAAATTTTGAAATTCATTTTTTGTTCGGTTGAGAAAAATCTATAATATATTAAATATCACATCAAGTGAGAATCATTTTTTGAATAATTTTAACCTTACTTATATTCAATTATTTCAATAATAATTTATTTTTCGTTTTTAATATGTAATAAATACTATAAAATCCTTGTCATATATGAATTTCGTGTTATTAATTCTCAATTAATTAATATTCACATTAATATAGAGTTATTATAGATGAATTTATTTCTATTCGTGTATCTATACATTTTAATGTGTGTTTAAATTCATGTATTAATAATTAATTCTTATATACCAAATGTAGTATAAAGATATTGCTCATTTATAGTATTTCATCATGATAAAAAATTTGAATTATAGAAGTTGAGTTTTGAGAATACAATTTTCTTCTCTTAAATTTCTATCCTAAATTTTATTTTCTTTAATTCGCTTGCAACTCATCAAATCATCCCAACAAATTGATATCAAATATTACTTTTGTAACACTTGTAAAGTATTTCTAAATAACATGTAAAGATAAATTAAATATAGATTTATTAGAAACTATTATTGCTATTCGATTAAGGGTATTATTAACTTTAACTCGATCAAACACGTAGTTCTCGTGGGTTCGACACTTTATACACTACTATATTACTTGATCACGACCCCGTTCACTTGCGGGAAATCAAACAATCATTTTACATACATAATATTTTATTGTATCAATATATGATTGAAAATGAGTATATAGAATAAAGAATTTTCAAATAATGATTGTCAAACTGGTGCTTAATTAATATCTATGGAATATTTTTGTTTAGTATTCTTTGATAGTTGACCTATATGAATGTTACGGATATTGTTGTCTCTACGGTTGCTTGAATAGCTACTTAAAACATTCACGAAAAATTTAGAGTAATTGAAAACATGATGTATACACATGTGAGTTTATATGAACGCACGAGGATGTGAAACTTATGTGTGTTTTCAGTTAGCTACATAGGGTCCCTAGTTCAAAACTTGTCTACCATGCACGACCTTAGTTAAAATTTGAGACATTATTTACTAGGTGAAGATTAAAGTTCAAAAGACACTTTCGTTTATGCATTTAAGTTTGTGAGGTCTATATGAGACATATTTTCAAAACTTTATTCCTCTTGTAGTTTAGCCTTTCACTATGTAATGACCTTGATTTAGGCTTTAATATGTATCATGGTCTCAAGGGAACCTCACTGTAATTGTATATAAATCATACAAATGTCAATGCAATACATATAACTTTCCATCCTAAGTCCCCGTTTGACCCCCATTTTTAAAATTTATTTTTTCAAATTCATTTTTAACTTTATATTTTATAAGATCCACAACTTTTATCAACTTGGATTCACTGCTTAGCAAAACAATAGCAAACAACCACCAAGGAAAAGCTGTTTTTTCCTCCCTGAGAGTGAGTCAGAACGTCAAGAGGATTTATGACAGTGTTTTACAGGAATTTGACAATTTGTTGTTGACTTGACTCCTTGTATTTACTTGTAAAGCAGGGTTATAGGGTACACTGACACAGCAATATACCTCAGAATTTCCATGTTACTGAATATATGAGTCCAATGCCAACTCATAGGATGCTGCTTGCGGATAGGTTTTGAACTATCCGCAAATATCATTTCTTTTAAAATTTTGAAATTCATTTTTTGGTCGGTTGAGAAAAATCTATAATATATTAAATATCACATCAAGTGAGAATCATTTTTTGGAATTCAATTATTTCAATAATAATTTATTTTTCGTTTTTAATATGTAATAAATACTATAAAATCCTTGCCATATATGAATTTCGTGTTATTAATTCTCAATTAATTAATATTTACATTAATATAGAGTTATTATAGATGAATTTATTTCTATTCGTGTATCTATACATTTTAATGTGTGTTTAAATTCATGTATTAACAATTAATTCTTATATACCAAATGTAGTATAAAGATATTGCTCATTTATAGTATTTCATCACGACAAAAAATTTGAATTATAGAAGTTGAGTTTTGAGAATACAATTTTCTTTTCTTAAATTTCTATCCTAAATTTTATTTTCTTTAGTTCGCTTGCAACTCATCAAATCATCTCAACAAATTGATATCAAATATTACCTTTGTAACACTTATAAAGTATTTCTAAATAACATGTAATGCACATTCAACTCTAATTAGTACAATTAAATATAACGAAATATATCCCATATTTGATAGGGATTAAAATCGAATTTTTATTATATTTTGATAGAATTTGATGAAACGTGTGGCTGAAAAGTTTTGGAACCCATAAAATATATGGTTAAAATTTATTATTGATTTTGACTTAAATTAAAATCTAGATTTTAATCGGTACCAAACATGGACATAGTTGAGAAGCAATGCGTAATCAATTATGTAGAGACATCGATATCTTGTTCTCTTTAAAGAACTCCGCTCTCTATTCCGTGTACATATTTCAAGGAATTTGTGTGGTAGGAAACAATTGACTTGTCCCTTCTAACATACAATAATCTAACTGAAATATTATGTAGCTCTAACTAATATGCACTATGGATTGATTTCAAAGCTCAACTATTAGACTCACTTCTTTTCATAAGAAAATATGAAAAAGTATTTCAACTTTTTTGAGGGAGTGGTTTGACATGTTTTATGAAAAGTTTTGTTGTTCATCATTATTCAACTTTATCTTTGGCAACAACTTCACCATATTCAAACATTTTACTTTTCTTGCAGCAATTTATTATTACAAGTTGTAGGGGGTGATGTATAATATATTTGTCATTCATCAACACCCTTTTTCTTGGGCATATTTTCAAACAAGACATGGACCACTAAAAGAAAATCAATCAATTCCATCATGGAAAAAAAAAAATTCATATGCAATTGTCACAAAGTCTATCATAGCTTCAAATCCCTGTCATTTTCTTGTTTCATATCCTCATTTTTTCCTCATGCACCACCACCACCACCACCACCAGCTTACTCATATTAGGTTAAGGCACTTTGTCCTCTTTCTTGCATTGTGTTTTTCCTTGTAGCTGATTTTTTCTTTTTCTATGCCTCTTTCACATGTGCAACCACCACGTGAATTTGGTCAATAATGTTGTCCCCTCGCCCCCACCCCTTTCACGTAGTTCTCAATCATTGTCATTGTGAACATATACATTAGATGCTTTGACATGGTGATGCGGTAAGATGAATTGCGTAACATAATTAGAGTCGTTAAATTGTACACATATTTCCAAAATTGAAAATCCCTGTGGTCCATATTTCTTGTTAGATGGCTTCGCTAGACTAGTCTTTGCTGGAAGTAACCTCCCTAGATGTGAACTTCCTTGTTACATTCAACTCATCCTTTCACAACCGATGTTCATGGTAGGTTATAATCTCAGCACATGTTTAGTTTAGGAAAAAAAAATCATATTTTTAGTAGATTTTGATAAAAATTGTGGAATATGTGGTCGAAAAGTTATGGATCCCATGAAATATGTGATTAAAATTAATTATTGATTTTGATTTTAATCCCATTTCTTAGCTAAACCAAACAAAGGCTTGATAACTTCATAGACGAAAAGCAACCTCCTCCGGTCAGCTCATCTGTAACACGGACGAGCTTTGTTAAGAGAGGTGTTCAAGTGGTTATTAGCCTACAAATTAGTTTCAGCTCAAAAGGTGAAGTACAATTAGAGTCATTACATGAACACTATTACAAATAAAAATATAGAATCTTGTACATTGCATTGTCTAGATCTTCTAGAATAAGAGAGCACCATCCCTAAAATGAAAACTTTAGTGCTTTCTATCTATTAAATGGATAATGGATTATAATTCATAATCTTGTCCGGAAATCTGACATATATCCTATCTTGGGTATGGTCCTTGACCTCATTACTGCACAAACTAAGAGAGAAAGTGATGGAATCCTAACATTCTTGATCAACACTGTAATCAAATTACATTACATGCATTTTATCATTATTATACTGAGTATAACTACTTAGCATCAATGGTGTTAAAACACAATTCTAGGTGATACTAATGTGACGAAAAATACAATTAAATAAGTAACTTAATTATACATTTCATTGAATCTATCACATAACACCACATGAACTGTTGTTATAGGACTAATGATATTAGATATCATTATTCTATCATGCTTGTACCCGAAGTACGTCAAGCTCCATTAATGGAGAGTAGTGGTCCAATTTAATAAGTCTTGGTCAAGAAGATAAGGAAAGTGAGCTCATATAAATGCAATTGAGGGAGTATTAGATATAATGTGAAACCAACCCAAGTCTCTCATTCATCATGAACATTGAGTAGTGTTTTCCATTACTCCAACATTATCTTTATAATCTACAAAAGGGACAAACATACTCCATGGGGGCTGCTGATGCTTCTAAAAAGATATGATATTGATATTTGCAGGGTAAATTAGAAAGAAAATGAAAACTATATATTATAGTAAATTCAGATAATACACGTGTTATACTAATCATGAGGAAAACAAAATAAGAGATCCAAAAACCACTCGTGGGTAGACGTATTATCCTTCGGTTCATTGGCTTTCCCGATCTTGATCGTCAATCGGGCGTGCTGAAGAACTTGAACTTGACGCCATATTCACGGCTTCCCCATGCGTGAATCTTTGTAACTGTATCATACGTGCATATATTCCATCAGGGTAGCTTTTCAATAAATGAGAATGAGAACCCAGTTCGGCTACTTTCCCATCATCAAGCACAGCAATAACTTGTGCATTTCTTATTGTTGATAGTCTATGTGCAACCACAATTGTTGTCTTTCCTGCACAAGCACGCTCGAGCGCTTCTTGTATACACCTTTCTGACTCAGAATCGAGAGCACTTGTGGCTTCATCCAGCAGCATTATCTCTGCTTTTCTTAAGAAAGCTCGTGCAATGGCGATTCTTTGCTTCTGTCCTCCGGACAACTGAACTCCTCTCTCCCCAACAAACGTTTTATAGCCATCAGGTAATGATGATATGAACTTGTTAGCATTTGCTAAGGTTGCTGCTTCGATTATCTCAGCTTCTGTGGCTGACTCGTGTCCATAAGCAATATTTTCATAAATGGTTGTTGCGAAGAGGCATGGTTCTTGTGGCACCACAGCAATGTGTCGTCTCAGTGACTTGAGATTGTACTTTCTGATATCCTTACCATCGATCATAACACGTCCGGATGATGGCTCGTAGAACCGTTGTATCAGTGCAATTATCGAGCTCTTGCCACAACCACTGGGCCCCACAAGTGCGAGAGTTTTCCCGGCCCTGGCACGGAGGTTTAAGTCACGGAAAACTGAAACATCAGTCCGAGTGGGATAAGAGAAGTCCACGTGCTTGAGCTCTACTTCACCCCGGAGTCGATCAGGGACTGGAGTGGCATCCGGATCATCAGGCTCAATTTCAGTTTTGCGGTCGAGGAGGTCAAATACAGACCGCATTGCACGGCCACCCTTGATGAAATCGGGGGCAAGGGTCAGTGTTTCAGCAGCACCATTGGCCGATACCATAAGGATCATGAAAACACGGATGGTCTTTGAAAAGTCTGATATTCCATGCTTGACGAGCCAAGAGGCATACCAAAGACCGAGGGCATAGGACACATAGAGCAAGAATTGGGCTATTCCATATCCACTTCCAGCTATCTGGCCTTTCCAGAAGCAACGACGCAGTGGAGGTTGGAGGCTCGAGATGAAAAGGCCAACTATTTTGGATTCCGAGTTGAAGGCAGCAACTGTTCGTACATTGGACACAGCCTCCCCTGCTAGCTGTGTGGCTTTAGCATGTGCGGCTTCCAGGTCTCCCGAGAATCCGGTCATGAACATTTTCTGACCAAATTATATTGACACAGTAATTAGTAGATTTGCAATGCCTAACTTCATTGGAATATAGAGAAGCTGCTTATTTATAATAATATAGAAAAAAAGAAATGAGAAATGAGCATGTTCTTATGAGTTCGGGTCGACAGACCTGTAAAACAGTGGCTGCAACAACGACGGGAAAGACTGCGATGAGCACGAGAGCAAGGCGCCATTGCAACACGAATCCTGCAGTGCAGGCAACCAGCATAAGGGCCGAATTTTGCATAATAACCGAAATCCTGTCTCCAATTGCTGACCTAACATTATTGGCATCCAGTGCTAATCTTGCTGCAACTCTAGAACTCATATTCTCTTCCTGATCGAACCACGCCATTTCATTTTTAAGCACTGCTGAAAACATTTTCTCTCTCACACGTTTTGTTAAGTTCTCTCCCACAACATCCCAGAAGAAATGCTGTAATGTGTTAAAAATAAGTGCAGCTGATGAAACCCCAATCAAAAGATAGCAGTATTTTGCTATTTCTCTTATCATGTAAGAATGATCTTGACTGTAGTAGACGCTAAGAACGGCACTCAGCACATATGCGAAGAATGCACTGAGAGAACCACAGACAACAGAGCCTATAGAACCAACCAAAGCATAAGCCCATTCAGGAGAGTTCATCTTTGCAAGGCGACAGAAGGTATTCGCTTGATCTTTGAATGCAAGCTTTTCCATTCTATAATTAGGATATGCACCATCTATGGAAAGGCTAAAGTCGGAAGTAGAAAAGTCAGATAATCTTCGTGAATACGGGGATCGACCATAAGAGGAATTTCTGGCAATTATTGGTGAGCTCACAGAGTTTCTGGCACTAGATGGCCTGCAAAAGAAAAGCCAACTAAATCAAGAAAAAGTGGTGGACTCGATCCATTTATGAACATTTTAGAATTTACAATATAAGGCAACATAACATCGTGTAATAATGAGTATAAAATTTTAATGAATTTACCAGAAATTTCAGTAACCAATAAAGACGGACAGATATACCTTGCACTACTCTTTCGGGCATTATTAAGAGCCGTTTCATGAGCTGCTTCTTGCATTCTGATAAGCTTAGCAAAGACACCGTTTTCTCCTTTAGCATTGAGTTCATCATGAGTTCCAATTTCGGATACACTACCTTGCTGCAATACAGCTACTAGGTCAGCCTTTCGGATGGTCGAGAGGCGATGAGCAATCACTAGAGTCGTCCTTCCTATCATGAACCGGTCAAGTGCCTCTTGTACAAGCTTCTCCGATTCAGAATCTAACGCACTTGTAGCCTCATCCAGCAGCAAGATTGCCGGGTTCTTCAGCATTGCCCTTGCTATAGCTATTCTCTGCTTCTGGCCACCCGAGAGTTGTAATCCTCTCTCGCCCACCTGCCATTAGCAAATGTTATTTGATTCTTGTTGTTTCAACACGAATTCACGTGCATGCAATCTTTTCAAGACTTAAAGAGTGAACTCATTAGTAACTATCGAGTACCCACCTTTTTCTCACCATCAAGTAAGAAATGACTTTGAAAGTAACTCTTCCCTTACTCACTAGATGATCTCTTGGCATAATTGGTAGAAGTGGATTTGATAAACTCGACAATACTAAAAAGAAAGAAACAAAATAAAATCTTGTTCGTTATACCTTCGAGTGCAGTCTAATAATGCAAAGGAAACACGCACTTTGTATATTATTCTATTTTTTATACACAAGTAAACATAAATCAACTTACACTTGCACATGCATTGTTGACTGAAACCATGTTACTTTTTATTTAAAAGCCTGACCAACCATTTCCACACATTTGACTTTATAAACAAAGTTAGGTTTGTCTGTTGACCAAATAAGGCAGTCAGTCCTTGGTGCAATAAATTATAGCAAGTAAAATAAGGCCCATCATCCACGGCCAAATTCTTTCCCCCGGGTAATAACTTGACCGGCAAACTCACACAACATGATGTTGGCTTGTTATAGGAGAGTACATGCACAATAATCGCTAAACCCATTGCTTGAAGCAACGGTAATGTAGTAAAAACGACTAATTAAACCTACCCGATATGACACGGCCCGTCCCTATTTTGGTTTCACATGAAAAACGCCTCAACAGTAGTTTACACAAGTGTTAAATATGTGGCACGCTATGGGATTTCAGACGCCACCATAGTGGACATGTTACATTGAAAATCGACTACATGACAGTAAAATTATGATAGAGATTCTGTTATATTAACTAACCTGAGTATCATATCCATCTGTAAGCTTGATGATGAATGAATGTGCATTAGCTACTCTTGCAGCCTCTTCGATTTCAATTAAACTCGTGTCGGGTCTACCCAACAGTATATTCTCTTTAATGGTGGTGGCAAATAGTGCTGGTTCTTGGCTTACAAGCCCAATTTGCTGCCTCAGCCATCTCAAATTTAAGGCCTTGATGTCATGTCCATCCAGCAGAACTTGTCCTGCATAGTTACTGTTTGTTAACAGAGATTTTCATTCCCAAAAACATATTTTGAAGGACAATATTAATTTCTCATTCATTTCCTTCTTTCTGTATGAAGTTGTTTATAGTTTCTAACACTTTGAAACGGACCTGAAGTGGGATCATAAAATCTCTCGATGAGGGAGACCACTGTGCTTTTTCCCGAACCACTGCTTCCAACCAAGGCAATCGTCTTCCCGGCCGGAACAGTGAGACTAAAATTGTGAAGAATTTGATTTTCTGGCCTTGCAGGGTAGGAGAAATCTACATTTTTCAGTTCTACTTGTCCAGTTATAGAGTCGAGTTCCAAGCCCGAACCGCTGTTTTTGTCAACACCCGGTCTGTGATCGATAATTCGGTAGATTTTCGCAGCTGCAACTCTAGCCTTTGCAAATGCGGCCATGCTTGGAGCAGATTGTCCCAGAGCACTGGACGTTTAAAAAAAGAAAAATTATCAGGCTAAAAATACTCGATCAAATATTGAATTTTGAAAAAATACGAGCCCAGTACTCAAAGAACTTACAGTCCACCTATCATAACTGCAAACATCGTTGCTATTGCAAGTCCTCCATTTGTGAAATGGTGCCTAACTAGATAGCCTCCATACCAGAGCAGAAGGGCATAGCAGCAAAAAACAGTAAAATATGTAGCTCCCAATCCCATTCCCTTTGCAAATCCAGTCCTATAACCAATCTTTTGTGCAACTTTTAATGCTGCAGAATAGGCTTGTAATGCTCTTGACTCGCCAACATATGCCAATACTGTCCGAATTTGAGCTATGGTCTGCAATTTGTGTAAAATTCAGCAATACCCTCGTGCAAAAATGTTAAGGATTAAGTCCTAGTCCCAATTATGAGAGCAATAATAAGCAAACGAAATTAGAAACACACATTTCAAGCTTACAACCTCTAGAAAATCTGATCCAAGGACAAGTGGATATAAGTAGTATGATTAGGATCCACACGATCCAAAGACAGAGAAAGGAATTTATCCAAATTTAGTTGGGTTTTTTAAGAAATTACTCAAATTTAATCACCTGTTCAGCAATATTTCCAGCTTGTGAAAGAGCATCTTGGCTCTTTGCAGAGAGCTTGCCTAATGTGGTAGTGTGTATGCCTCCAATTACAGCTATGAGAGGAACCACAGCAAGAGTTACCAAAGCTAATTGCCATACTGCAGTGAACCCAACAACAAATCCAGAAACAAATGTTGCCATATAGTGCAAGAAATTACCCAACTGCAACAAAAATTTCACAAAAAGGCCTAATCAGAACATAAATTTTAACAACAATGAACACCAAAAAGCAAAACCCGACTGGGTTTTTTCTTCACCTTCTCACTAATGGCATCTTGGACCATCACTGCATCAGTGTTAATGGCAAAAATTACATCGGATGTTCGAACCTCTGTATCAAAGTATTGAATATCTTGGTCCAAAGCAGCTTCTAAGTACTTAATCCTCATCTTTGTCGATTGTCTTTCTCCAGTCCACATCCAACATGAAATCTCTGCAAGATATTAAGTTACATAATTTCAATCAGAAAAAAAGTTTCAAATCAAGATTAGTATGAAAAAGGGCACATTTTTTTTTCTCCAATTCTTGCCTGCCCAAGAAGATGCCCATATTGCAGCTCCCACCACAAGAAAGTAAAATGCATATTTCAGAACTTCTTGTGTCATCTTATCAACATTGTTTGCATTTGAGCCAAAAGAATTAACAAGATCAGCAAAGAATCTAAGGAACAAAGGCAATGAACTGCCATGAACTATGGCACCAATAGTCCCAATTGTCATGAGAAAATAGTCCAACCCATCTGCAAATCTGAATAGCTCACCAATCCCAACAGAGGGAGTGGGTGAACCGGGCTTCTCTGACTCGTTGCCTTCTTTCTTCTTCCCTTCAGAAACAACCTCAACTTCCATTGTTGAATCTTGGGACCCTCCTTTGACTTGAACACTAGAAGATGTGTTCGAAATACTTGATGATGTTTTGTTATTGGAGTTATTGTTGGCTTTAATAGAAGAGGGAGATGTGGAGTCTGAGTCTTCTGACACAAGTTCGATGCCTTGCATTTCAGACCATTTCCATTGCTCTGTCGTCTTTATCTCTTCAACATCTTGTGCCATTGCTTTAATCTTGCAATTACAGAACCAACCCACCACTAACCTCTCTCCACCCTTTTTTTTTATTAACACTTGTTGACACAACAGATGTGGGCCCACTCACGCCAACGTAAGCAAGTTTCGGCACATTTTGACTGAAAAACCGAATAGAGAAGGGGAGTGCGTGAACACGGAAGATGTTTTACACCGCGAGACAAAAATGTTTGAACACCAAGATAGGTGACTGATTGTACACATGTAAATATGAAAATCAACAAAAATAATTATTTATAAAAATTTATTGATAATAAATTATGATAACAAAGGTTTGTGTCAAACTATGCGGTTTGGTTCCCGTAACTGTCTTTGCCCAAACTATTCCCTCTTTGTGTCAGACTCCTATAAATCCGGCTGTTGCCCTTTTCTTTTTTGCTAATTTATTTGTTCAATTAGGGAAAAAAAATCATGTTTAGTTAAATATCAATTCTCAGTCCGAGTTTTCAATTTTCGGCAGTTTTTCTTGATAAACGAGTCTCAAAGCACCATTTTCTTAAGACTTACAGAGCGATTGTTTGACAAAAAATTGGAAAAATCTTCTTGGCCCGGGTCGATGCCAGGCTCAAGAACTCCAATAGGGCGCCCTGTTCTTGAGCCTAGCATTGAGCCGGGCCCAATAGCACGGCTCCAAAAAATTTGATAAAAGTTGTCGTAATGTTTGCTGAAATGTTGATAAAAACTGTGAATTTTATAAAATTAATTATTGACTTTGATAATAGCTTTTACAACTTTTCAAGCTTTCCAAACAAGCACTAAATGTTAATTTGTTTCTCTTCGTTTGTTGTTTAAGCAAAGTATATATTTTCCAAGGTTGAACTCTCCTAATTATTATGTGAGAGAAAAAAGGGAGCTTAGATTGAGCTCCGTTATTTGAAAAAAAAAAAAAGATTTTGAAATAATATTTTTTAGAATGTGTGATTAAAAAGTAATGAGAATTTTGGGTCTATGTGTAATATTATTTTATTAAAAGAATGTGCGATTGATAAAAGAATTAAAATTTAATAAGTTCTGTCCAAAAACCTTCATTTCTATATTTGTGAGGAAGAACGACACATACTTCCACCAAAATCAATCTTATAAAAAGTGTTAAACAAGTACAAGATTATTCACTAATTTGTCAGAAAATCATCCACAAAATCTGTAGATTCCTTCCCAGATCAATTTTTTAAAGCTGTCATAAGAAAAACACAACAAATTTGTTGTCTTGAAAAAAATTATGAAATTAAGCCCCGTGGCGAAAAGTATTATTTTGAATAGCGAATTTTTGAAGAATGTATAATTAAAAAATAAGAAAAAATTTGAATTTACGTGTAAAATATTTTATTGTGTGATTGAAAATAAATATGTAGAAAAAAAAATTTTGAAAGAATGAGAGACAAATATAGCTAAGTTACTTATTTTGATAGTAGACTACTTTTTACTGCCTATGCTTAACCAAAAGAATAATATTATTTATCATTATGATGATGAAATATCGGTGATGTGACGGTGTATGTGAAATAATGGGATTGTATAGTTCAATTTTTATGAGAGAATTGAGAAAATAGAGAGAGAAATGCGGAGGATAATTGGGTTGTCATATCATCGATATTCCACATCATAGTGATAAATATCATTACTCTAACCAAAACTATCACTCCAATAGATTAAGCTTCCTTTATAAGAGTGTGTTTGAACCACATTATTTTGGAAGAATGTATTTTGAAATAGTAGATTGATGGAGAATGTGTAGTTGAAAAATAAGGAAAAGTTATTAATGTGATGAAAAATATTATTTTATTGAAGAATGTGTGGTTGAAAATGAGTAGAAGAATGAAAATAAAAATTTTAATGTATACCAAACAGGGGCTAAATGTGGTTAATTTTTTGAGAATCTTGAGTAACGTGTTTAGTATATTATATTATACAGAATTGAAAATGACAATCGACAAATTTTATCAAATTTAAAGGAGGACGAGGATTAATATAATGCACCTTGTGCAGCACGTATGAAACTTCTATTTGGCTAAATGCAAACTGGGGTCTGTG